TAATGACGATTTTCCAAATTCAAAGAAAATATTTTTAAAATGTCACTCAACAAACTGTTGCTTTTGATTTCTTTACGTACCTGCTAATTATTCCAACAATATTTTCACAAATATTATACTTTTTTTTGTTCCAGTATTTTAGCGGCGGCAAGAAGAGTGGTGCTGGCATGTGTAATTTCCGTAGATGATCCAGCACCTAAAATATTGGCCTAATTAACATGTTAAATAACTTTTCTTACAATTTTATTTTCAGGAAGAAATTTATCTTATAATTCTCAATTTTGAAAAATGATTAGAGCCGTTTATGAGAAAATCTTATTTTTAATAATTTTAATATTCATCTTAACTACTTATTCTTTCGGAACAATAAACGTGACCTTCATTAATGAACTAAGTGGGGAGACTAAATTTCATTTTTAAGAAAAAATCACTATCTTTAATGTTGTAGTTTTAGGAAACGACAAAAAATGATACTTTTGTAATTAACAAGTTTAGTATACAATGAAAATCGGATGTATGTCATATTTATGTGTATTTCTCTCTATTCTTAAAATAAATTTAAAGAAAAAATTGGTGCCATTTTTGGGGAAATTTTTAAAGTATCCCTGGAGCTGTATTACAAGTACCCTCAAAAGTTAAAGAATTGTTTCGATTGAAATGAAAATCATAGGACTTTAAGAGTCGGGACTGATCGACGAATCGAAGAAAATTCATTTTTTTAAATTCTACAAATAGTTTAGGCTCTAGTGTTGTTCAGAGAGGAAATAGTGGACAGAAGTGGACGTACTTACATGTACGAGAAAGTATAATGTACGCAATACATATGTAATTAAATTAAAACTCTATACATCAGCAAAAATTATCTTTATTAAAAATATCTGTATAAAGTGAAAAGCGAATATAACTTACGGGCGACAGCAGCCACAGCCTCCCCCACACATGACGAATATTTACCTAAAAGATCATATTTCGTAAGTCTCTTCCCAACAGAATTAAAATTATTTCATACGTGTAAACGTTGTGATATTTTTTTTACCCGTCAAGTTCCTATTGATACTAGAAACTAAAAACTGTCAATTCTTATGCTGGCTTAACACTTGCAAGAAAATGACGGAAGTATTTCGCAAGAAAAGTTGTTTATGTAAGAACTGCGGCAATAAATATTATTAATGTTGACAATATTTCATGTTATATATTCCGGGCGTAATGTAAACTCACATGTTTTCGTCCTCAGAAGGATATTGCCGACTGTTGATGGGATTAGAAATGGATTGGTGTCTAAGAAGATATTACTGGAAGGAGCAGATTCTGATAACGGTCACGTACGCAGAAAGTGCGAATAATAAAATAATACACAGACATTTTACATTGTACTCGTAATAAGCGTGTTTTTTAATAAATGAATGCGTGAAAACTGTTTAATACAAAAACGAAATAGCAGTAAATACTCTAACTCTCGGTATGGTTGATTATCGAGTGGTTCAAACTTTCGTTTAGGTATAGATGGCCTCTGCTAATATTGTTTTTTTCGTTAAAAATTGCTGAATATATTCATCTAGTATAAACCAATTTTAAGAATAATCTAATAAAATATCACTAGTAGGTAATGGATATTTCGAAACTTTTGTTATCGAATTAATTATTGCACTTTTATAAAAGGAAAATTCTGGAAATGTGGTGGGCCTCCTGGACCAAATTCGCTTAAGCCTCGTTTTTTTCTTCTTATAATTCATTCATGCGTTCACACTAATCGTCGGCTTTTCGTCAACTCTTCACTTAGCACAATAAGTGCGGTCACGACTCGCACCTTCTGCTTTCCATTCACCGTACCGAAAACAGTGATCTGTAGTCTCACGATCACGCGCCATTTATTTTTTGATGTCACCAAACGTGGCAATGAAAAGTCCTGATGTAAAGCTATCGATTATTATCAAATATCTTACCGCTAAGATCTTGCGCGGATTTTTTTGGAAATATTGATTTTGTATTACGTATTATGTATTACAATAATACTTATTGGTAGTGTAGGGCCAGCATTAGATAACATTTCCTATAGGAAGTTCTGGGAATAGTAAACTGAAGATGCAATATAAGATTCTTAGAAAACATTTCGATGAAGTAAAATTATAATTGCTTATAAACATCATAAAATCCAATTATCGAATAATTCTATTTTGAAAAAAACAACTTTTATTTCAAGACTTTTAATAGTATTGTTATATATTTTATTCATTGATTTTATTATCTCAAAATCATCTTTTGATAACTTCAGTGGCAATTTCATTCTCAGAAATAAAATAATTTGGTAAATACGAATAATTCATTTAAGAATATGAAATGTTAAGCAGTGAAATTGTGTGGTTGTATATAATATTATACTCACTTTTCCTCCAAGATGTTACCAGCGGACTGAACAGTGATGTTGGCAAGTATAGTTACCGTAGATACCTACGCAACTGCAAGAAAGATCATTTGCAATTTTATATTTCTTTAAGTATTTCTATTACAAGTTCAGACTTTGGAAACTATTTCTTACATCTGATGGTACATCTTTTTTAATCTGAACTCCAACGTAATAAACTAACTTTTGCCGTGATATCGTCTTCCGAAATTCAGAGTTCGGGTAGTGTCTTGCCAGGATTCGTGATGAAATACTTTTGCTGTCCGCAAATATTTCATTATACATCTTGACTCAAGGGTTGGGGTGTCGAGAATATAATACACTAGAGGAAATCCGTGCGATTAAATCATACGGGAAGTTTAAACCCGAATCCGTTTACTCGTCCGAATATTAACTTACCGTATACATATATTCAGACAATAAAGCGAAAGCATTCTATTTATACTGTATCCTCTATCTAGACTCGTCTGAAGTGGCCTGCTCTGCCTGAGGCCGAGCTGCCCAAACCTACCCTGTTCCTCGCCAGCGACCTCGCCCAGTGCTGCCGTGCCTGACTCCGATACTACTAGCCTTACTGCCAGGTTATGCATGACTGACATGTTCGCGAATTGGTCATCTCAGGACCACGCGAAAGTGCATCTCACCGGTGCTCAGTTATATAGGGGGAAGGTTCACGTGACTTAATGGGGGGATCAGCATTTTCATGCTGAATAAGGTTTTACACCCCAGGGTTGTTAGCCCTGGGGAATGTGGTAAATTATAACGACGATGAAGGATGAAATGGACAATCACAAACATAGAGACACACACCTAACACAACCATGCCCGAGGTGGGACTCCAACCCGCGATCCTTCGGTCCAAGACCGCCACAGCTCTACTGCCGTAGTGATCTCGGCTACCCCGATTGGCTAAAATGTTCTTCATATTATTAATGTTTACATAATATACACAAAAATGTAAACTACACTTGCAAGAAATCAGGGAGTTACATCATTTAAAGAACATCATATTTGCTGAGATTGATTAAAAAGGGATATTTACGTAACATCCAGAAAGGTATGTTTAAGTAACACGTTTTAGAAATACTGTATTATACATATGATAACAAAATAAAATAGCGTCTAAAATCTAATCTTGTGCATGTTGATTCTCGAGTGGGAATAAAATCGGTGAAGTGTCCCCACATTCACTTTGTGCAACCAATAAATCCTCCAAGAAGCCGATTATGTCGCCAAGAAGCGGGTTATGCAAATGATTAATCATCGACGTGAAGCTGTTGAAAGTATACATTTAAATTGCAGAGACGTTTTAAAGTACTAAACGGAAAAGTTTCCCTAGATAAAAATTTTAAAAACGAAGTTCCAAACTTAGTTAATTCCGCAAAAGTACGAAATTCCGCACAAATACGAAAAAAGTCGAGGCAGTGAAGGTGGGAAAGAACGCGATCGCTTAGCCGGGTTTTCACAAACCGAACAAGATCAAGAAAATGCGTGTGAGCCTTCGCTCCTTCCGCCAAACAGTTGAGACAGTTGCTGCCGTTTCCTCGGTGGCCGAACGCTTTTGCCAAACGCAGCTTACGAAGGCTGAGATCCACTCGAACGACTTCGAGAAACCAAAATGAAGTGAACAAAACACCACAGTAATCACGCGGTGCAAGGGAGAATTCAGAAGCAAGACAAGCGAGTTCAATCAATATGAGCGACTTGATCACTAACGATCTGGAAGCGTATAATTTCCCCTCAGTTAATTTTCAGTGAAATAGGAAGATGTTTTCACATAAAACTGCTAAAAGGAGCAGAGAGATACAGCGCCCACACTTGATTAGGGTGTTGATCCTTTAATTTGAGGGAATCTGTATTTACATAAGTTCTCTTTCCTTTGCTAACTTATCAAAATTGTTTAATAATTCTCGTACACATCCCAAACTTTAATCGTTTACATTTACGTAATTGAAGTGCTGGTATGTTTGTAGAAAGAAAATTCTTACAGGCAGTAAAATACGCAAGAAGTATCTTTTTGCTATGACAATGGTTTGCTTTAGGCACGCTTGAATGAAAAATAAAAAAAGAACTTGTGTGTACTTCGTAGCGTTGTGAACTTCGTAGCATTGTGTGTATATAACAAAGTAAACTAACAGAAGTATGCTATTGTTAATCGAGCTTTCTCTAGTATGAAGATGGATTAAAAATATAATACAACAATATTTAAAACAAAATATGACGCACAAAGAATAAGAGACGCTGGTTTACCAAAGTAAATCTACGTATTAAAAATGTAAATGTCTCCGGATGACATACTATTAGATAATACAGAACGGGTTGACTTCACAACTATTGCTAAATATTTCTAGGCAATTTCGATAAAACATTCAAAATCAATATTATGAAAATATGAATGTGTATAAATTCAATCGGATAAAGTAGAAGAGACAATTAAATGTTATATCTAAATTATAATTCATTCCGAGCACTCGCAATAATGGTAGGAGTGCTATTAATGTATTTTAGTTTGTTTGCTGATATTTGAACCATGAGAATGTTAATTTACATAAATAATAATTAAAAATTCATAGAAAATGGGACAGCAAATACAACTTACGGTCGTTTTCTGCAAGTACAGTTTTCTCCGCCGCACATCGCCAATTATCTGAAAATAACAATTACATGTTACGACTTGTAATTTAATAGACGTTATAAACGTATCACACAAAATAAATTTTGTAATGGTAACTCACTAAAATGAGAATATTCGGATTAAAGACAAAATAATGATGTTTAAAACATGTAATTTAACAGAAAAAATGATCTAGCCCAAGGTTTTCCTTTGTACAATTTTCTATTTGAAGAAAATTAAAATTTCTTTTTTCTGTCCAGAGGAACCTAAATGGTGAGAAAATGGGAAACTCGCAAATAAGCGTATACATTTATTTATGTGTGCACTAATATTAATGTCAAATTGGCATAATATGCCTACATTTGATATTATTAAATATACGGAATAGAATAGTGCCCTTCGCAAGAAATCTATTTAGTACTCTCATACCAAATACGTAACACAGAACTTTATGTGGAAGCAAAGCGGTAGTAGAAGCTCACTGCTGCGTGGAGTTATTTCCTGAGCGTTTTGTCCCTATATATTTAATTTTCCTTTTCCAGCTACATCTATATTTATCTCAGAATTTTGTATAAGATTTTATCTGAATTATTAATTAATAATTTGCCTCTTTTGGTGAGGGGCAGTTATGTTACTAAAGTTGGCAAGCTAATCTTATTGTCATAACCTGTCAAAAGTGTATCCTGTCAATGCATTCATTGTTAATTGTCAAGCATAAAAATAATTATAAACACCGCAAGAATTGTGACAAGTTGTTATTGAATAATGGAATTATCATTGTAGAGAAAATAAGTTTTCTGTGACGTACGTTGAAAAGTGGTACAAAACTTTTGAGACTGTCAATGCATTACATTTTGTTCCTAATACACAAATGATGCAGTTGTTTCTTTGGAAAATAATAATTTCAGATTATGAACTTTAGGCCTAATCATATTTCATCTACAAATAATCGTCATCAATTTTTCACGAAAAATTTGAGAATTGCTTACACAATTACCAATTTTCTTCAATTTGAATTAATGAACTTGCAACTCTCTGTAATAACCGAAACTACTATTATTAATTTAATACAAAATTTTCTACGTTTTTAACATATTGTTTTATACGGTACATACAACAAATATTACTTTACCTGACAATTCACTGTTCTATATGTTTGGATTTTACAATTTTTTTTTCAAAAATTTTACCGACGACAAGAGGAATGGTGTTGACAAGCCCAATGGCCGTATGTACAGAAGCACCTGAAATAAATTTAACGTGGTTTACATTTGCATTTAGATTTAAAGTCACATTAAAATATCAAAGTTCAATAGCGATTAATAAAAAATAGTAAATATTAGCTATTTACTATTATAAAGTAAAATGTTTATTCTTCATATTTCCTGTCGATTTCATTTAACGTACGGAGAGCCTCTGTGCACGCAACTGAAGCAGCATGGATCTCCGTCCTGCACCATGACTGCCAACAAAATTCCTAAATGTATTAAATACTATTTTCCTTCTCCTTCTAGTTCTAATATTTTCTGAAGTTATACAACATCAAGTTAAATCTACGCATTTGTCTAAACAAGATCTGAGGAAACATATTTATTTCAAATAATGTAAATTATATAAAAGGTTTTGACATAGGATTATAATTATGGAAACGTATAATTACCTGCTTTTTTGTTTTATATTTCCCAACAGTCGGTAAAATATTATTAATAGGTCGAACTTTTAATTTATTAGAATCACCGGTGTAGATGGAACGAATAACTTATGAATACTTATAAACAATTTGTTGTAGCCAAGGATACATTGAATCGTTGTTCCATTATTTTAAGAGAACTTCGAACAGTCGAGAATCTACTAACAAGGATTACAAAATGTTGAATGGCGTTCAAAATATACTTCGGATTTTACATAAATTATAAAAGTCTGAAATGTAAAAATAATGAAGTTTGAATATTTTTCCACTTGAGAAATGTTTTAAAAAGTACAATGACAGAATTGATTAACCTAAAAGCAACACTTTTATTTTTATTTTGAATATTATCTAAGCTTTTCACCGTGTGCAAGATCACTAACGCGAAATGGCAAGAAACATTCTCTTCCCCATTAGAAGTAATACTCAAATTTATATAATGTTCACTATCATCTATTAGTCAATAAATAAGCTCTAAAGAAAACCTATCAGGTTTCATTTAATCACACATCCCTCTGTACGTGCCCCAGGGTGATCTCAGGACCCTAACCACTCGTAGCCGGGTGTCCTGTCAGAAGACAAGGAGAGTGTGTGCCCTGGGCCCTCCGAGAAGATAAGGATAAGGAGATAAAGATGTATGCAAAGAAAAGAGTTCCTGAAAGGAGGAAAGAGGAACTATGACATAATTACTTTCTCTCTCCTTTTTGTTTCCGCTCTTCAACAATCACCGAAAATCTGCCATCATGCTTGTAACACATCTAATTCCGTTTTTCATCACTTTGACATCTGTATCGAACCCTACGCGTTATTTTTAATCTTTATAAATTTCAAAGTTTTTAAGAAAAGATATTTCGATGACATCCAAGGAAATAAATTATATCAATCCATTAAATATTCCAGATTTTCGATGTTTTCCACCGCGTTCGTTACAACTTTGAAGTTGGGATTCTTATCGCTTCAAAGAAATTTTGTTGCAACTTCTTTGAAAAATGTGATCCTAATTCTGCTCAAAAAACGATGTATAATTATGAAAAAACATTTAGAGGACTGTCGTGTGTTTGGTGATATTTTCAAAAGTCTTATAGTTTAATGAGTAAATTTTATGTGATTCACCAATTTAATGTGAGATTTTATTCAGAGGATTAAAGTAAATAGAGGCAAATTAATCAATTCAAATCGAGAAATTTTGTCGTTATTCATTAGCTATATAATGGGCGAACTAGAGGCAAGAACATGTAAAGGAAGGACCAGGAATATGCCGGAAGTGAACGCCATTACCCTTATTCGGAAATCCCATTGCAACAATTAGAGTGCAGCTAATTTGCGTCCTATTACAAACTTATAAACGAAAAAGAATAAGCGAATAGAGTACACTTCTTCATTGGCACCAGACACATTTTTTCGGAGAAGAACAAAATTCTTAACTGAAAAGTAGAGGTGCAATAGTTTGGCATTTTTTAAATTTCAATCACCCTATAGAAGACACTAAATATAATAATTTAAATATAAACATTAAATATTTGATAGTTATTTTTAAGACTTCAGAAATAAATTTATGAGGCTTCTAAGATCAACACCTCATGGAATAGGTTTTGTGCACTACTGCCCTCTGTAGGCAAACCCGAGGAAACCTATTTTGAGACGGAGCTCTAAACCTCGTCAGTATCTTCATATCTCGCAAGATAACATTTCCAAAGTGTCACCGAACCCGGGCTACACTCGCAGCCAGTCGCTATTTGCCAGTGCAAAGACCAATTTTCACAACTCCAAAGCATTGAGCTCAAGGCAACGCCATATTTGGCTACACTGTAATAGATCACAGTTTTCGACCGCCCCTGACCAATAAAGGGAAACACGGAACATGAAATGCCGGCCTTTTTGAAATCGGAGAATATATGGCGAATAACTACTTGAACATCAAATACATGTACAGAAGGAAAGGAAAGACGGATCTGTATTAATTGGGAGGGCAGCGCCCCTTGATCCTCCTTGCTGTAGCCGCCACTGAATTTCCTTGCCTTTCGTTACGTGAAAGGAAATAAATAAGGTATGTTTTTACACAGACGAGAATTTGCAAAAATATAGGAAAAACTATTTAACCTATAAAATAACCAAAAAAAATCCTGATCTAAAATTACTTATTAAATTAGTAAAGAAAGAAGGAGAAAATATGATTCATAAATTACAGAAAAGGCCCTTTTCAGTAAATATGTTAGAGATATTTTCAGTTAATTAAAACACCTCATACTCATGAGAAAATATTTTATTTACTCAGCATACAGAATACAAAAACCATCACAAAAAATTTCGAGGAAATAGGCCGAAGAGCAGCCCGCTGCGAGCCACAGAGACCCAAGGACGACTTCGGCAGCAGCACCACGCGCGCTCTCGCCCCAGTCGCAGAGGAGGGGCGCGCGCGCACCTCCGCACACCGGGACATCTCGCGCGCGGAGCGACCACTCTCGCCTCGCCCCGGCCCCACCGCCCCCGCCCACGCCCACGCCCCGCGCCCTCGGCACACACCAAAGGCCGCCAGGGGGCACAGGGGGCGGGGCGGCGGGGCCGGCTGCGGCGGCGTGGCTCGGCGTCGACTCGTTTCGGGTTGGCAGTCTCATTTTTCGGTAGTGACTAGAAGAACGTCTTAGTAATGGTGAAGACCAGCACCAACACCCGCTCCCACGCCCGCGCCGTAGCCAGCTCCGAAGCCAGCACCATAACCGGCACCGTAGCCAGCTCCGTGACCAGCTTCGAATCCGTGGGCGAGCGGCGCCAGGTGCCCGATGCCAGCGCCAAAGCCCGCCAGGTGGCCGTGGCCAGCACCAACGCCCGCGCCAACGCCGGCACCGACACCGGCACCGTGACCGGCCCCGTAGCCAGCACCTTCACCGGCACCGTGGCCAGCACCGATTCCCGCGCCGAAACCAGCTCCGTGACCAGCGTCAAGCCCCTCCTCGTCCTGCTTGCCGTAGCCGTGCAGTGTGACCTTGCCCTCACGGTGGACGATCGCCTGGAACCCGTTGTGCTTGTCAGCGGTGTATTCCACCTTGCGGATGTGGCCGTCGGGCTCCACCAGGCTGTAAGATCCCTTCACTTGATCGCCGTGACGGCTCTCCTGTTGGTTCTTGACGTCGCCGTGGTAGGTGTCTTTGATGGAGTAGTCGAACTTGTAGTTGGGGACGTGGTGCGCGTAGTCCTCGTGGGAGGCGAGGGCTGCGGCGGCGAGGGCCAGCACGGCGAGGGCGGTGAGGGAGACGGCGTGCATGGTGATGGAGGACGGGCTGCGAGAGGAGATGCGACTGCGTGGGTGGCGGAAGCGAGAGTGATGCTTAGGCTGCGTTTGGAAAGC